ATAAATTAAAAAATAGAAAAAAGAAATAGCATACCCACAATAGCATGGTAAAAAAGTAAAAAAATGAGTCAAACATTTGGAACCAAGAATGAAGAAATATTAAAGCAAAAGAATGGAAGAAGATAGAACAAGTAATGAAACTCGAGAGCAACAAGAAGAGTGAAATCGGAAAGACTGAAGTGAGAAAGCAAGCTTTAGCATGCAAAATATATAAAAGTGGCTTCACGGGCTGGCACAAGGATGGAAAGTTGTCATGACAAATCAAGTTCTGGAGTAATAGGAAGCCAAAGGAGGATTCGGCTGTATTCATGCAAAAAACTATTTCAAAAAGAAACAAAAGTCATCATTTTTTGCGTGAACAATTTATTTTTTAATTTGAAAAACATAATTGTTGTGTCAAACTAAATCATTCTTCGCAAAAACGGTTTCACTTTCATCACATTCATATCACAAGCTGTTTGAAAAGAACGACTTGTATATAATTCTTAACTTATTCTTACAAAAACAGGTTCAAATATAACATTTTGATAAATACTTTAAACATCGTAGTATTTTGGTAAACACTTTTAACATTGTATTATTTCATTGTTTTTTTAACTGTTTACAAAAATCAAGTCTTTAGCGTAGTAGGTTGTAGGGCATCAATAGAATCATTATACTTAATTATGCATGAAGATACGGCCTTCTGTCCTAAGATGCTGGCGTAAGAAATTCAGGAAAAACTTTTTACAACTAGCTTTTCAGTCATCAATCAATTTACCAGTTCTTTAGCTCGTACCTCAGGCATTTAGGGTGATCATGAGATTCCTCTAATAGACCAGTCGATCTTTCTAGCCAAGAGGAAGTGAAATGATAAGATTAAATGTCTTATTTTATTCCTTAAGTACGGTCAAGCAGCCCAAGTCCTTATTTGCTGAAGAAAATGCTCCATCCCAAGGCTTTTCATATTCCTTTGTCTTTAGTTAGCTTTAATGTGGACAATACATCAATGTAAAATTCATCGAGAGAAAAATCTGAAACTTCAGCTTATGTTTACTAGAAGAAAATACCAAACCTTCATCAATAGTTGGCGGCTCTTGGAGTTACATTACGGAAGACATAACTCATCTTTGTTCTTTCTTTACTTTTGTTTCTTTCATATCTATTAGTTACTCTTTTCGTCTTCTATTTTTAACTCTGCATTTTGTCCTAAACTTCTAATATTATAACTCTTTATACCTATTTATTTGCTTAATATCATTTTGCCTTTACTTGAAAAGGATGGAATACATTGTATTAGTTTTTTTGTGTTTGGCTTTGGGCATGTTTTGGATTTGAATACTGTTGTAGATAAGATCTCAAAGAGTTAGAGATTATTTTATATTTTTATTAATTATTTTGCAAGAATGGCTGATCACCCAGATGGGGTGAATTGGGTGTTAATTAAAATTAAAAACCTTTTTGCAATGTAATAAAATTCATAAGAAATTCTGGGTATAAAAATAATAAATTGACATAAGCATAATCACAGTAGTAAAATGGTTTAGCTGGAAATATAAAAAGATAAGGGAAGAGAAGATGCAAACTGTGATTTATCCTGGTTCGGTCATCACTGACCTACGCCCAGTTCCCAGGCTCCCCCTGAGATTTTCAATCGACTATCTCCCTCAAGTTTAACACGAGTACTTGAGAACCACTACAACCACAAGTTTGATCCGGATACTTGTGACGCCACTTACAATCCTTAGACTAACCAGTCTATTTAACGAGAGCCTCTCACTGAGGTAAATACTCCCTTTTACACACTGTAAGGATACAATCTGATAATGATAATGAAGATTGAATATTTTTTCTCTCAAAGAAGTGATAGATGAATCTTAAGCACGTTTGGGAAACTCTCCTCTCTATCTTACGAATACATATATTTTAGTCTATGAAGTACAGAGACATGGAGTTTTTTCGACTCTGAGCTTAGAATCTTCTTCTTTTTCTTGTTTTGAATGCTCTTCTATTTATAGATGATGTTGGGTATTTGACTGTTGAGCATTTTCTTCCCGTTTGGTTTGAAGAATATGACCATTGAAACTAGCCGTTGGAAACTTCTGACAAAAGTCGATTCTTCACATCATAAATTCGTTGTGGCTCTTTACCTAAAATAATCTTCCTCAAATCAAGTGATAAGTATCTGATAATCTTAGAAACAATAAGTTGGAAAATATTGAATAAATCATCAGACATTCAGATATTCAGAAAGTAAGATGAATTTACTTAATCAATGCCTTAATCGATAATCCTTTGATCGATCATATTATCGATTAATTATATGAAGAAAAGATATAGCATAGATCAATCATATTATCGATTAATTATATGAAGAAAAGATATAGCAGATATATGCAATTATCAAATAGATTATGGATCATATGATGATCGAACAAATGATCGATAACTAATGAAACATGAATACAGTTAGCTTTAAATGGATTATGCAAGGATAATCTTTTTCAAGTTACGTTTGTCTTCGTATCCTTTCAATAGAGAGTTATGTGTAAAAAGAAGGGTGAGAAAAATTTAAAGATAAAAAGATAAAAGATTTCAAAATCATCGTGAAATGCTGTTATAAAATAAACTGGTACAATGATCGAACAAGTGATCGAAAACTATTTGATTGATCATATTATCGATAAAGCTAAGTATAAGAGAAATATATTTTCAAAGTGTGTTGATCGAATACTTTATCGATAAATTGTTGATAGGAGAAATGATGGATAAAAAGTTTCAAAGAGATTTTCACAGTGAAGTTATTGAATATAAGATGATCGAGTAAATGATTGATTAATGATTAATCGATTAAGTGATCGATAAAATATCATTGGAAACTTATTTCAGAAATATTAGGAAAAACCTTGATCGATCATGTTATGTGAAAACAGAAGTTTCAAAAGATTGAATGATCGATCATTTTATCGATAAATCAATGATTGATCATGTGATCGAAAAAAGACGTAAAACAAGTAAGTGCAGTGAGATGATGATGATCGATCATTTGGTTGATAAACCATTGATCGATCAATTGATCGATTAAAGAATCTACCAGGCAACTTTTAAATAGAATCTATTATCGATAAAATATTAAGCAAGCAAGGACAGTTATCGATTAACAATTGTTCGATAAAGTGATCGATAAATAATGAACAGAACAGAATACAACGTGAGTAGGAAATTTTACTATTTATTTGTCTTCTCATCAATAACTCATTTATCCATAACTTTAACCTTGTTTATCGATCAAGTGATCGATAAATACATTTATTCATAACGTTATCCTTGTTTATCGATCAAGTGATCGATAAATACATTTATCCAATAGGTTATTGATAAAATCTTAATAATACAAATGAAGATAAAAGAGAAGAATTGAAGAGATAGTACCAAGAATTTGATAAAGTGATCGAATATGTAGTTGCTTGATCATCAATTCGAACATCGGTTTACTTGATAACTAGCTTCGAGTAACATTTGATAATGGATTTTTATTTCTTCATTTCTTCTAGTGTTTTTACTCAATAATATGTTTGAGTAGCATGTTGCTCAAGAGTTTAATCAATCAATGTAGAACTTTTGGTCTTTACCTTAATAAACTCGAATTCTGATTCAAGCAAAACGAAGGTCAACTTTGAGTGATCTTAAATCTTCCAATCCAACTCCAAATTTTTGCAAATGACCTATCTCCAGAAAGCTCTTTGAGTCTACTTTCTAATGCAACAAGAACAACTCCAAAATTCATTGTATTCGAAAAGTTATCTTCATCATAGTGATTGAAGGTCAGAGTAAAGACGTTAAACCCAACTGCAATGTTTCAAGCAACATATCTCCCTCATATGAAACTCTTTGGAGCTGATCTTAGTGTCTATGAATCGGGTTCTGAGTCTAGTTTCATATGAATTAAGTTTCACCTCAAACGGATTTGTGGTTTAAGAGATATTAGAGAAATACCAAACCTATATCAGAGCTGAACGAAGAACAGAGCATAACAAAGTATGTGTTTTATCGATAAATTGATTGATAAGTGGATGATCGATCAATTGATCGATAAATGCCCATGAAAATCACCTCTGAAGCGTATTTTCAATGTTTATATGAAGGGTGACTTAATATATGATTATATAACTCTCAGTTTGTACATTTTAGTTTCCGATTGAGCCATTCAAACTTCTGATTGAGCACAGCAACCTTTAACATCAAATCTATAAACTTGAATCTTGATATTTCCATTTGATCTTATAAGTTCTTCTTTTTTCAATCTTTCTTCTTCTTGCTCCTCTTGATCATTCTCTATAACTCAAAGTTCAATATAATAACTCTTTTCTTTTCTTGAGAAAACTACACAAGATATTAAGTATGATAGTTAGTCAAAATATGAGATAAATAATTTATGCAAACTTTTTGCTCTATTATTTGACATCATCAAAACTAATCATATCTAATAATTTTAATGTAACTTTTGTTTATACCAAAGTGATAAGGACATAGTTTTTTTAATTCAATTAATAGGATAAAAAGAAGGAAACATTACAGATTTTTAAAATTTTTCGATACACAAAAAGTACACGCACATCAATGGTGCAGCAAAGTGATAAGAACACAGTTTTTTTAATTAATAATAGCAGCATATGTAATATTGATTGGAGGCATAATTTAAAAACATGTGGAACGAGTGGAGTTTTGTAACTACAAACTTTTGTCAGCCAAAGGTGTCGTTCATTCATATTCCCTGCATACACACACACAATAGTTAGATCAAACAATGAAAATTCGGTCTAGAAAGAGCAAATTAAGATGATGATACAAATTCTCTGAAAAATAAGTTACAAATACTAGTTTGTAAAAAGTTCAAAAAGATATTTGTAAAGTTCTCAAAAGTATTTCTTTTCCCACAAAGAGCTCATTTTTAATGGGAAAAGCTGAAACAAATGAGCATTAAGTTTATTTGCTTCATATTTATGTTAGCATGATTAAGTATGTATTTGAATTGTAGTTGAACAAAAAACATGTTGAATGAGTGTAATTTTTAAGATTGATTTTGATCAAAATTTAGTGAGTCTCGTTGAACAGATATTTCTGGTTGGAAACCTTTTCTTTTTTTAAAAAAATACGTGAAAAGTGATCTTGACAGAACTGATTTTGTTAGACTAATTTTTTTTTTTATCGTTTTCATTTTTAGATCTGTAATTACCAGAAAGGATAAATCCTTATCACTTTTTCTATTTACCTTTATTATTTTTTATTAATTTTAAATATAATTAATATGTTATGTGACTACTGTAGACTGTAGTAACCATTTTAAACCTTTTGATTTTGGTGTTAAATAAAAATTTAAAGAAAATTATTTTCCATTTTTCAATCAAAAACTATTATTTTTTATTTCAGTATTTCAATTGAACAATGTGCCTTCACAATAAATATAAAATTATACCAAGATAAATAAGTAAATAACGCAATGCTTGATAAAAAGTACACATAAACAAAGAAGCAAACGTAAAATAGGGAAAGGACACTATTACTCAACCTTAGCCTGAGTTATTCTCTATTTTACTTAAATGAGGGTAAAGATGTGAAGTGTGATTTTGTAAAAATTAAAATCGAAAATTAGAGTATCTACTTTTTGCAAAATCAAGTTTTCTGGTTTTTAAAATGATTTTTATTACGATTACTTTAGTAGGATAAATGAATGTTTTACATCGTCTAATCCTAACATAGTTGACCAAAAATGGAGACATTAAAATTTTAGATGTTGTCAACATTAAACATTCTCAAACACTTAATAAGTGATGACATGGCAAAATAATTTGACGTTAGCAATACTAAAGTTCAATAACTGGAAAAAATACTTTGTACAATTAAGAGATTAAACAAGTTTGAAGATTAACAATACACTTCTTTTTTCCGATTAGATATTTTTATATAGCAACCAAAACACCTGATGATAATTGAAAACATTTTTTTATAGAAATTAAACTATTTTTCACGCTATTTTTTTTTGGTGGGGACCAAGGACAGATCTCAAGATTACTTTATAACGTCGACATCGTTGGTCATTGTTTTGACATACACCAAACATCCCGTTGTCTCTTCTTCTTGCACAATTCATTGTTCTTTTCTGTATAATAAACACTAATCTGTGATTGTGAATGCTCTCTTCTCTCTCTCTCTCTCTCTCTCTCATAGTTTCTGTGTATTGTGAAGATCCTCTTTACCTCTCTTTCCCACATTCATCAATATCTCTTCTTCCCTTGCTGCCTTACTTTTCGTGTAGTCCTTCTCCTTCTCCTTCACATGCGAAATCAAACCCTAATTTTCTATATGTGGAAGGAAATTTTAATTGGATGTGTTTCCTTGACTATAGAAATGAGCGTGGCAAGGAGAGGTAAGGAGGTTCTTCAAACGCACATTCCCTAGCTTTGGCTGTTAGGGAATTAATCTGTTATTGAGTTAGAAACTAATTTCTGTTATCTTTCTGTTATATATTAATCATGTATATATATACTTGGTTATGAAGAGTAATAAAGCAAGATATTCATTTTCCCATTTTCAGTTGGTAACATGGTATCCAGAGCATAAATTTTTTTTCCTCTCTCCCTTTCTTCCTTTTCTGCCCTTCACCTTATTCGGTCTTACTTTCCTCTCTCTGAACTTTCATGGCCGACTCTGCCGTCTCTGAATCCACCACCGCTTCTTCCATTGATCAGACCTCTCCTTACTACATACACCCCAATGAAAATCCTGCATTAATTCTAGTTGCACCGCTGCTTGATGGTTCGAACTATCACACCTGGGTGAGATCGATGCGCATGGCACTCCTGTCCAAAAATAAACTCAAATTCATCGATGGGACTCTTCCTCCTCCTTCTGCTTTTGACCCGATGTTTCCATACTGGGAGCGTTGTAACAACTTGGTGCAAGGATGGCTCACCAAATCGCTTTCTCCTACCATTGCGAAGAGCATCCTTTGGTTTGATCGGGCTTCCGACATCTGGACTGATCTCTGTTCTCATTATTCTCAGTCTGACATTTTTTGCATTGCCGATCTCCAGGAAGAAATACACAGTCTGAAGCAAGGAAATTTGAGTGTTACGGAGTACTATACTAGGCTTAAAATCCTTTGGGATGAACTCTCTAGTATCCGTCCGATCAAGCCCTGTGCGTGTTCCTCCCATGGATCTGCTGCTAAGCACAGAGAGGAAGACTACGTAATCAGATTTCTCAAAGGACTTAACGAGCAATATGCTTCCGTAAAGTCTCAAATTATGATGCTTGATCCTTTACCTTCCATTACTCGAACCTTTTTCCTTGTACTGCAACAAGAACGTGAATTTCACATTGATCCAGAGCCCAAGATTATGCTTACTAAGGGTTCACGACCTTCTCTTACTGGATCTTTCACTGGTTCGAAACAGAGTACCACCAAACAATGTACCTACTGTGGGAAACCAAGGCGTACTGAAGAAACATGCTATAGAAAGCATGGTTTTCCACCAGGTTTCAGGTTTCGCAATGGTTCCTCTACCTCTGTGAATAATTTTTTGACTCAAGATTCTGCCTCTGTTCCAGAAATCCATCCTGCCAAGCCTCTTCCTCCTCCTCACTCAACACAAATAGCGACTATCCTTCCTTAACTCTCTGCTGAGCAATACCAACGTCTCCTAACTCTGCTAGGTCCATCTCCACCTTCTGCCTCTGCTTCTGTTAATCACGTATCTACTTCAGTCTCCTCAGTTAAAGGTAATTGTCACTCTTTTCCTTCTCCACATTCCAGTACTTGGATAATCGATTATGGTGCTACTGATCATGTCTGCTTTTCCTTAGATTTATTTTCTTCTTACCAATCCATTTCACCCATTTCTGTCCGTCTTCCTATTGGTTCTCATTGCATAGCTTCTATTTCTGGTACTATTGCTCTATCTTCCTCTTGGTCTTACACAATGTCCTATATCTTCCAAATTTTACCTTCAACATCATATCGGTTTCTCGTTTAAGACTTTCTCTTCACTGTTTTCTAATTTTCTATTCTCATTCATGTCGGATACACTTGCTCCAACCTTCACTGATGATTGGTACAGCTAAAATTTTTGACGGGCTTTATCTCTTAAATGCAAATATGCTTCCATCCTTTCCTGCTTCTCAGATTCATCTGGCCACTGCTAAAACAGACTCAACCTTCACTCTTTGGCACCTTCGCCTTGGTCACATTTCCAATTCAACTTTATCTGTTTTGCATAAGAAAATTCCTGACATTACTTGTATTCCTCATTCTATTGTCTGTGATACTTGTCATTTTTCCAAACACAAACGATTAACTTTTCCTATAAGCTCCACTAAAAGCAATAAAATTTTTGATTTGATTCATGTTGACATTTGGGGACCCTTTTCTGTTCCCTCTATTCAAGGACATAAATATTTTCTTACAATTGTTGATGACTACTCTCGCTATACTTGGCTATTCTTATTGAGACTTAAATCTGATGCTAGAACACAACTTAAAAATTTCTTAGTTCTTATTGAAAATCAATTTGCTGCCACTGTTAAAGTCATTCGTTTTGATAATGGCCCAGAATTTTCTCTGCTTGATTATTATACTTCTAAAGGAATTTTACACCAAACATCTGTTGTTGAGACTCCTCAGCAAAATGGTCTTGTAGAAAGGAAACATCAACACATTTTAAATGTTGCCCATGCTTTATTATTTCAGTCTAACATACCTATTACTTACTGGTCCTTTGTTGTTAAGTATGCTGCTTTCATTATCAACCGTTTACCTTCTCCTGTGCTTCATAATTCCACACCCTATGCAAAATTATACAACACTAAACCTTCATATTCTGATTTCAAAGTTTTTGGCTCCCTATGCTTTGCATCTACATTATCCAGTCATAGGTTTAAATTTGATTCAAGAGCTAGAAAATGCATTTTCCTTGGTTTTCTGTCTGGCTCAAAAGCTTACATTTTATTAGACTTGGTTACAAATAAAATTTTTTTGTCTAGAGACGTTGTTTTTCATGAACTAATTTTCCCTTTCAAATCTGACAAAGTCAGTTCCCTTTCTTCACCCATTAGTTCTCCTTCTGACCCCACCATTCAAGACTTTCCCACCTTTTTAGATGATGACAATAACATCTCCTCTGTCTCTTTTCCCAACACTGTTTCACCCACTTCTCTTTCTGTTGCTATTGAACCTGCCACTGTTTCACCCACTTCTTCTTCTGCTTCTGCCGACACTATTGATGATAATAATAACTCCTCTTCATCAACAATTCCTCCCTCTATATCTACTCCTTCATCCATTTCTCCTCCCTCTCCTCAGACTACCTCCCATTTCCTTCGCCGCTCAACTAGACCCCATAAACCTTCATCATATTTGCAAGATTATCATTGTGCCCTTATTTCTACTGCTGACCAATCATCAAGTCCAGGTTACTCATCTAAGTATCCTCTATCTTCAGTTTTATCCTATTCTTCTCTTTCTTCTGCTTACCGTAATTTTGTCTTATTTGTCACCTCTACCCCTGATCCAAAAACATATAGTCAAGCTGTTAAACATTCAAAATGGAGGGATGCTATGACAGTAGAAATACATGCTCTAGAACAAAAATCAGACTTGGGTTTTAACTTCTTTACCACCTGGCAAGAGAACCATTGGGTGCAAATGGGTGTTCAAAACTAAGTATAAAGCTAATGGTGAAGTTGAGAGATATAAAGCCAGACTTGTAGCAAAAGGCTACACACAAATAGAGGGCATTGATTACTTTGACACTTTCTCACCAGTTGCCAAGATGACTTCTCTTCGTTTATTGCTCTCCATTGCATCTGCAAAAAATTGGTTCTTACATCAATTAGACATCAATAATGCATTTCTTCATGGAGACCTACATGAAGAAGTGTATATAGACCTTCCAAAAGGCTTTACACCCTCTTCTCCAAATCTGGTTTGTCGATTACAAAAGTCCCTCTATGGTTTGAAACAAGCAAGTCGAGAAGGGTATTCAAAATTATCATCTGCTTTACTTTCCTATGGCTATGTTCAGTCAGCCTCTGATCATTCTCTCTTTTTTAGAGCTGTTTTTTATTCCTTTACTGCTATACTAATATATGTTGATGATGTGGTCCTTGCTGGAAATGATTTGGCTGAAATATCTCTTGTTAAGCAACGTTTAAATGCAGCCTTCACAATTAAAGACCTTGGTGAACTCCGTTTCTTTCTTGGTCTTGAACTTGCTTAGTCCAAAGATGGCATTTTTCTATCTCAATGTAAATTCGCCTTAGAGCTACTTCAAGACACTGGTTATTTGGCATGCAAACCTGCCTCCACTCCCATGGACCCACATTTGAAGCTTTTCAAAGACAAGGGTCAACCTTTGACTGATCCACAATCTTATTGGAAACTTATTGGTAGACTTCAGTATCTTACTACCACACGGCCGGACATGAGCTTTGCTACATAGCAGTTGAGCCAATTCATGTCCTCTCCCACTGATATCCATCTTCAAGCAGCCCACCGTGTTCTAAGGTACATTAAATCCTCTCCTGGAGCAGGTCTCCTTTTCTCCTCTACATCAGACTTGAAATTAAAAAGCTTCAGTGACTCTGATTGGGCTGGTTGTCCTGATACTCATCGATTAGTCACTGGTTTTGTCATCTTCCTTAGTTCCTCTTTAATCTCCTAGCGAGCCAAGAAACAAACCACAGTCTCTAGATCATCCTCTGAAGCTGAATACAGGGCTCTAGCCTTAACCACTTGTGAACTACAGTGGCTTATCTACCTTCTAAACGACTTCCACTTATCTCACATAGATCCTGCACTGCTCTACTGTGATAATCAATCTACTATTCAGATTGCCTCCAATCCAACCTTCCATGAGCGCACAAAACACATCAAACTTGACTATTGATAAAACCCAATTTTTATACATTTTATCCCACATTAAATTAAGATTTAAATGATAATTTTGAGCCTAAATGAACTTTTTATGCATTATTTGATTAATTGGTTGATTTTTGGATTTTGCATAATAATTGAGATTTTGGATTAAAAATATAAATATTTTGTGCTTTCCTATTTTTGACTTGGAATTAATTTTTCTTATTTTTTTGGAAACAAGTCTCATATTTTTAGAAAGACTATTTTTAGAAAGTTTTGCACTTTCTTGCCTAATTTTTGTGCACATTTAATATTTAATTTTTGATTATATTTGGATATAATCTACATTAATATATGCACTTAAATTTTTATAGGTCAAGAAAAGAGCATATAGAAAATCTAATGGTGCAAGATTGTTTCTTGGGATTTAAGCACAATCCAATAGCTAATATCTAGTGGGTCAATTAATTACTAATGGGCTTGAGCTTTGGATCTGCAAAAATTTTCTTTTCCCTCATTAAACTATTTTTGTTATTTTAAGAGGAGGATTCACGCCCAAGAGGACACCACTTCCATCTCCATTCATTCACGCACAATTGAACGCCTAAGGAGACTTTTCTCCTTCTCCATTCAGCCGCTGGACATACGCTTCAATAAAAAATTCACATCTTTTCCCTACGCACAAAAGCCATCCAATCTTCATCACCAACTCCTCCATTCCACGTGCCACATAAATTCAGCATTTTATTCTCCATTCTCCATTAACTATGGTGGCCATGATTTCCAACAGCGTGAAGGGAGGAGATAATACCATGGAAGCTTAAGATTATTTGGGAGGCAACTTGGGAGGAGCATGGAGAAGACTTGAGGCTTGGGCTAGCACGTAAAGACCACAAGAGAGTGATGTTCCATTTATCTTTTTAATTTAAGGACTTGAAATTATTTAGTTTTAAATAATTTTAAGTTGTAATTTTGTGAGACAATTTAGTTCTAGATTGTCACTTTTATTCTTGGATTAGATTGATATTTGGATTTTATGTGTGTTGAGACACTTGTTGGAATTTATGTTTAGAACCTTTGCATTGTTAATTGAATTTATAATTGAGTTTTCATTATGAGTTTAATTATCAATGTGGTTTGAATTGCAAAATTTGGGTTCTTTCACCTCTTAATTGTTTAATTAAGTTGGTTGATTATCTGATTGTTTAATTGGACAGTTTCAAATATAATTTCCAAAATTAAATTGAATTATCTTCATTGGTTTTAATAGGCTTAATTAACCAACCTTACACTGTTATGAGTTCTCTAATGGTTTAAGGGTTTTTGAAGTTGAGGGTTTCCTTTATTTCAAGTAGGTAATTAAGTTTATTAATTCCACTCTCTTATCACCTTCCTTTGGTCTAATTAACTGATTAAGGTTATGAAGGTTAAATCCATGCATATCCTAAGTTGTCCCCTCTACCGTACCTGAAGAGAAATTTCTGAATTTTTATTTGCTAATTTTCTTTGCTTCCTGATTACTTTTATTTTTCATTATTTTTATTTTCCTTCAAAAAAATCTCCCCCAAAAATTGCATTGCATTTATTTAGTTTAATTTAATTTTTATATAGATTTTAGGACATTTGCATCTTGCATTTAGAATTAGAATTTTGTATTTTAGTTTAGGTCCAATTTGTTACTTTTTTTTATCACCTAAATTTTCACCTAAAGAAACCCACAACTTGCTCCTTGGAAATAATGACCTAGGTCGATCCTAAACTATAAATTAATCAGGACCTAGTTTAATTGAGTGCTTTGATGACAAGAGGCATCATCAACTATCATCTAGTCAGAGAAAAGCTACAGGCAAAGGTTATTCATCTACTCCCAGTTCGGACAGCAAATCAACTAGCTGATATTTTCACCAAGCCTCTACATCCAGCCAGATTCCATGAGCTCACTTCCAAGCTGGGCATGAAAAACATCCATGCTCCAGCTTGCAGGGGGTGTTAGGGAATTAATCTGTTATTAAGTTAGAAACTAATTTCTGTTATATGTTAATCATATATATATATATACTTGGTTATGAAGAGTAATAAAGCAAGATATTCATATTCCCATTTTCGGTTGGTAACATTGGCGTTGTGCGGCGAGGCGGTTTCGATTAAGTCAGGTGTGAATGGATTCTTTTAACTTTAGTTTTAAATTGGAATGGACTCGTGCATTTTTTTATAGAATTTAAGATAAGTTGATTATTCGTTACTGATAAATAATATGATTTTGGTTATTTGTATTGATCTATTGATTGATGTGAGGTTTTGCAAGAGATAAAACTGAAGTACTTGGTTGAGAAAGTATATCAAAGGGTAGGCAAGGCAATTAATCCCTTGAATATTTTAGGTGGGGTTCTTGTTTCATATTTTGTGAGTTGTGTTGATTAAAATTTAGCCTCAGAGTGTTTTTGAGAATTATTATGCTTAATCAGTTTTGTGTGATGTGATATACTAGCTTCAGTTTTAATATAGGAACTACTTAACTAATTTAAATAAATTAAAGAAGTTAGTTAAATTAGTTATTTGTAACAAATATGAGTTGATTTTCCTAAATTATCCTTTTAATCATGACTACCGTTAGATGGAAACTCTCTTAATATGTTTAATCGGGATGTTTTAGAGAATGTGTTGTAAATTTAGAAGACAAAATAGATTAAGATCTTAGTTCCCAACCAGCTCTTATATTAAGGATTGGATGTGATATATTTTCTTAAATGAATACTAGACTCCAAAAATATACACCTACGGTTCTTAACATAGGGCTTAATTAGAAGGTTGATCTTGATCCTACATATAGGACTTATTTCTTATATTTATCAATTTTTTCCTAAATTGCCCATATTAAATAATTAAATACCACAATAATACTTATTACTCATTGATAATACATCTATATATTTTATAAAGTAAGTGACTGCTTATTACTCATTAATTCCACATATACATCAATTCTCCCATTTGATATTTTTAATAAAATAATTTAAAACATCTTTTGAAATGTCAGTTTTTCAAAGAAATTTTAATTGATGGCATTTTGGAAAACATATATCATACTTATGATTATTACCCAACTAAACTAACTTTTATAATTTAATCAAAATAGTTAAATTTGTCTTATATGAAGGACGGGAGGAGTATAACTTCTCAGATAGATATTAAGAGCCAAGCGGTTTCTCATATTTAAATATTCAAACACGTCACTCTTGCAAGAATTTTTCTCATTTTTGGCTTGCATTGAAAAACGGAGTAAGAGAAATGTAGCCGATATACAGACTACATGATCTACAAATGAATCTAAGACTTCTAAAGTTTTTTATGCATGAAGTTTGTCCAAAATTCAATACAAACTATCTCTACAATATATCGTATATGATTTTTGTTTTAAATTTTGAAAAGGGACAATTATATATATATCCACACCTTTAAAAGAATTAGAAAAAATTTCCCGATAAGGAATCTTGAAATTACAATATTTCAATTTTAAAAGAAAATTGTGACAAAAATGCCACTAGTGAGGGGTTCAAAATTTTAAAAAATAAAAGGTCTTGAATTTCAAAATTCTAAGTTAGATTTATTTTCTTTTATGTTATTTTGAAGTGTTAGATACCTGAATTAAAATATTATAATTTCAAGATTCTCCCAAATAGCTAGGCTTTGGGCCTATTCCTAAACCTAATTCATTAAATAAAAAATGGAAAGTAAAAGCTTAAATGAATTGTAATTTCAATATTTCATTCAAGATATCATTAGATGCTAAACATTTTTTTTTAAACTATAGCCATCTTTTTGGCAATGGGATGTTTTTTGATTTCAACATCTCATTCCCTCATCTCCTTAGCATTGAAGGCAAGGATTCATCATGGGCGGCCCCTAGTGCTGGCGGACTATCAAAGTGGATCTATTTTGATTTGTACTTGGGCCTTGAATCTTGCAAAATGCATGGAAGAAATGGCAAAGACCACTCGGCCATCCTGACTTGCCGTTGGATATGGAGAGGGTGCTTTTATATTTTATACATCATTGGTAAATGTAAACGCATGATACATAATAGTAACATATGGAGTAAAATACACTCACCATCCTTTTATTTTAACTTAATTACATGGACCTCCCTTCTATTTTGATAACATACATTTTATTCTAAATCATTAACACCGTTAAAGAA